ATTTTTGGATTTTTGAATTTTTAAAGAAATAAAATAAATTGAATTAATGCTAATGAAAACCTAATATTCTAAATTGATTTTGAATATTGCAAAAAATATTAAAAGTTAAATCTAATTAAAGCTAAATTGATTAAATTAATTTATTTACAAAAATAAAAGTGATGAAGTTAATTTATTTACAAAAATAAAAGTGATGAAGTTAATTTTAATAAATAAAATATTTTTTGTGTTTTTGATTTTATTAGGAAAAAATGTTAATTGGTTAGTGATTAATAAAAAGAATAACGATTAATTAATTAAAGGAAAATAATAAAAATAGAGAGAGAGTTTAGGAGTATACGAGCCTGATTGGGGGGGGGTGAAACAGCTATTGGCGTCATGTGTAAACTGTTTCGTTTTGGCCATTTGTGTTTTGGCTTTTGGCCATTTGTGTTTTGGCTTCAACGTTCCTTAACCTTCTCAGGATGTCTGTCTCGCCATGTATTGGTGTCATGTGTAAACTGTTCTGTTTTGGCCATTTGGCTTTTGGCTTTTGGCCATTTGTGTTTTGGCCTCAACGTTCCTTAATGAACCTGCATGGGATCCTGTCTAAATCTGTAGTGTTGAATCTCATGAACACATTAAATAAATTACTATATATCATAAAATACAAATAAAGCCAATATATGAAGAAATTTAATGTTTAGGCCAATATGACATGTATGAATGATTATAGCCTTTTGATCATGAAGATCAAATCAATCTTACCCTTACTGGAAAAGTAGTGACATGAATGCTTTATACCCTTTTGATCATGGAGATCAAGTCAGCCTTACCCTTACTGAAGAAGTAGTGAGATATTGGTTTGTAACTGAGATAACTTGTTTGTAGTGAGAGAGAGATTTGTAATAAGGATTTCAAGGTTTTAGGGTTCTTGAAAGAATTTGATATTCTGACAGTGTTGTGGCAAGGTTTTTTTCCTCTCTTCTTCTCTGGTTTGTGTGAAAAGAATGTGATTATATAATGGAAATTAGGGTAAAGAAAATGGGCTTTGAATGTGCAATTGGGCCTCCAATGTTCACTTGAGTTCGTCACTTTCCAGGATAAATCGCAGGGACTTAAGTGCAATTTTTGAAGTTGAAATGTGAAAACAAAATGTAGCCGACATCGATAACTAACTCCTGTCCGAAAATCGGCTCAATCGGATAAACGGTGAATTAGTTATGAATTTTTGAAGTTTCAGCTTAGACAAACTTATTTTGGGCTCCAGTGTCGACTCTGACACGTTCTTCAATAAAAAACTGGCATTGATTGGAGCATAATTAGGTCTCAACTTTTGAAGAAAATTTGTAGATATCTGAGTCAGTGACCTTGTGTAAAAATATAAGCCCAATCCGATAAAAATTGACCGAGTTAAGAATTTTCGAAGTTTCGGCCCAGATGAAATAATATTCAGCATTCAGGATTTTCGGCGCGTCGCGCACTCTGAGCAAAAAACGAAGGCCTTTTGAATGCCGTTTGAACTTAATACCTTCTGTGAAAATGTAGCCAACTTAATTTGTGAAATTTTGGCGCAGGAACCAGCTCGATACGATGAAAATCGACCAAGTTATGATTTTCTGAACATGACGCAAATAAACTTCTGTCACAAATTTTCTGTACGAAAATACTTGATAAATCCACATTTTTGAAGACTTTCTGATTGAAATTGGCTTCCAGCCGTGAGAGATGAAAACATAGATGACGTCAAGATGGAATTTTGGCCACCGGAACGGGTTCAAAACGAGCCACGATCTTCAAGTTATGAATTTTTTAGCGCGTAAAAACTGCACTTTCAGCACACTTTTTTCACCATATTTCTTCGAGAAAACTCACACAGTCGGATACCTTCTGAATTTGAACATACGTTAGAACATTAAGGAGCACTTGAGGTCATTTGGATGTAAGGACCTTGATGCAACACAAAACCCTAATTTTGAATTGATTGTCTTAGGAGATGATTTGACTGTCCAACTCTTGAGCCATCTTGAACAACTTGGAGATGATTCTTGACATGTCTTGAGAAATATGAGAGGGTAAATTTTGGGGTACAACAGTTGGTACAAAAAGGAAAAACGTGCATGGATCATTACAGGATGCTGACACGGGTGCCCGTGTCACAGGACACGGCCCGTGTCAGACCAGACAACATAAATATTGATTTTTCTTTGATTTTTTTATTATTTTATTTTCATTCGATTTGGTTGTAATAGTAAAATTATGTTTTATTTACTTTTATCTCCCTATTTGTGAACTTATACCCCATCCCCTAAAGTGATGTAATAGCGTAAGATTTTAATTTCCGCAAATTTATCGCTTTTCATATAATTATTAGTAATTAAGGTGTGTGTATGGCAAGATAAAATCAACCGTTAGAAAACCCTAATCTTAAAGACAAATGCATGCAATCAAACACACTTCAGACACGCGCACCTTTAAGGTAATCTCGCTTTGTTGCCTCGGAAAATAGTCATGTCCCTCGAATATGGGCGTTTTAGAAAAGACCCTCGATAAAAAGATTGTAGTCCCTCGATGTCCCTCGATGTTGCCTTCAGTAAATGATCTAGTCCCATACGAAAATTGCTAAAACGTCTCATAAGTTGCCTTCTATGACTATACGATTGACCCGCGTTTGTCCCTTCACATCCAATGATGGGGCTTCTTACCAATCAATGGTAAGATAGCAACATCTAAAGGAGGATGAAAAGAACAAAGACCTTTTGAGTAGGTAGGACGCTCGTAGTTTCTTGCTCACAAATCAAAATCATTTTCACACTTACACTTTCAAAACATCTTCAAAAACAAACATCTCTTTGAACTATCTTCAAAACCAACACTTTGTATACATTCTTATAGAGACGAGAATCATTACAAAGTTTTCCGAAACAAAATGCGTTTTCAAAATACTTTCAAAACCCACCACAAATACATTTCAAACAAAGAATTTTTCAAAGTGATCTAGCAAGCAACTAAGAGCCCGTAGATAACTACGGATGAAAAGGGTGCTAACACATTCCCTTTTCATAACCTACCCCCGAACTCAAGAAAATAATCTCAAAGGTCTTTCCTGTTCTTTTCACCATTTCCTTTATTGGATAAAAGAAAAGTCGGTGGCGACTCTTGCTATCCGCGATAATTGAGATAAAACGCAAAACACCCGAGTCAGTTCTCCCGCCGTATTACACTTTGCAATCAAAATTAACTTATAAAAAGCCTTTGATAAGTTTAATTGGGAGTTCATTTGGCATATTTTATCGGAAATTAATTTTCCTGATGAGATTATTAATGTTATTATGCATGGGGTTACAAGTGTGGAGACTAACATCAACCGGAATGGTAGCAAGAATGATTACTTTTTCCCTCAATGTGGGATAAGACAAGGTGACCCTATTTCGCCTTATTTGTTTGTGCTTTGCATGGACAAAATGCAGTGAGTAAGAAGCAATGGAATCCTTTTCAAGTGGGAAGGAATTGTGTCAATATTTCCCATCTTATGTTTACTGATAATTTGCTTATCTTTGGGGAGGCTAACGATAAACAGTTAGTGTGTGTAAAAGAAACTCTTGAAGCCTTTTGTACTATGTCAGGACAGAAGATTAGCAAGGAAAAATCTAGTAATTTATTCTCTAGCACTGTTACTAGAAGCAATAGAGCCAAGCTGGTTCATATCTCAGGATTTAGTGAAACGAATGGGTTTGGTAAATACCTTGGCATTCCTCTTACATGGAAAGATATCAAAAAGAATGATTTTAATTATGTGATAGAGCAAATTGCAAGCTGACTAGTTGGAAGGCGTGCCATTTGTCTTTTGGCGGTGGAGTAACCTTAACTAAAAGTGTAATGGAAGTTATCCCGGTGTATCCCATAATGACAAAATTGCTACCTAAAGCTTGTATCAAGGACATCCAGAAGCTACAAAGAAATTTCATCTAGGGAGATTCGGTTGAGAAGAAGCGGTATCACGTAGTTAGTTGGGACATTGTTACCAAGGCTAAATGTGATGGTGGGCTTGGTTTGAGGGACTTGAACTCGATGAATCAATTTTGCATCATGAAACTAGGTTCTAACATTATTAATGGTGATGATGATCTATGGTGTAACATTATGAGATACAAGTATAAGGTTGAGGATAATAGGGGAGTGTTGCAGGAAAAGAGAGTTGATTAGAACATGTGGAAGGCTATCATTAAAACGTCCCCTAACTTGATAGATGTAGGGCTCTGGCATATTGGTGAGGGGAACCATATTCAGCCTTGGACTCATAGCTGGACTGATAGAGGCAAAATTTTCAAAGATTTTAACGTGGCTATTCATGTGGAGCTAGCTTACTACAAGCTTCATGACTTGGTCGATATCGATGGAAAGTGGAATTGGAGTCTTATGGCTTGAATTCCAGATGATGTAAAGTTAAAGATTACAACCATTCTTTCTCTGCTTACAGGAATTGGTGTAGACAAGCTGATCACGACTATAGATGAAGAAGGTAATTTTGCTATTGGGCATTTATACAAAGGGCTTACTCAAGATGGTAATCTGGAGAGGAGTAAGGAGTGGAACCTAATCTGTAGCTGCTTGTCCCGGAGAGAGTCAGAAGATTTATCTGGATGTTGAAACATGATATATTACTTACTAGAAACTGTATGAGTATTTCTAGATTCAGAATTGATGGCTGCTCTTTTTGTGGTGCTGTTTGTGAATCCTCTTTGCATGTGCTTCGAGATTGTAAAGCAATGCGTAGTGTGTGGGATGTTAAGGTTTCTGCTAACATGGTGAATGACTTTTTCTAGATGGATTGGAAGGAGTGGATTTCTCATAACTTGAACGTCAATTTGCATGCAAATCCGAACTGGTGTGAGTACTAGGCTATTGGGTGCCACACGATTTGGTTACAGAGAAACAAAGAGTTGCATGACCCTAATTTCGTGCGACCAAATAATGCAAGTCAAATCAGTGAAGATTATTTACAACATTATAAGAGTTCAATGTTGATTAACAACATAATTATGGGAAGAGGGAAAGCTGAGATTTTGCTTAAATGGACTCCTCTTAAGATATCTTTTGCCAAGTTGAATGTTGATGGTGCTCACAATAGTAAAGGTTTATCGGGATGTGGAGGAATTATTAGGGACGAGCATGGATGTTGGCTAGGTGGCTTCTCCAAAGGCATAGGTTGTTGCAGCCCTTTGATGGTGGAATTTTGGAGCATTTTCATTGGGTTAAATTTCACGGTGGAGCGTGGTTTTAAGAAGGTAGAATTGGAGTCAGACTCTAACATTGTAATTTCTAGCATCATGAGAAATAATAACAAGAATATGGTTGCTGGAAATATGGTGTCTCGGATTAAGGCCTTAATGAAAAAGTTTGAAGTGATAAAGTTCAAGCATGTTTATAGAGAGATCAATTGTTGTGCTAATTTGCTTGCCGTTAACAGAAAGAAGTTGAATGACAATGTTTTAGTCTTCTATGATATTCCTAGGTGGTTGGTCCATTTAGTTGATAAATATAATAGTGTAGAGGTTTCGACTAGAATTGGTTCTGTGTAGTTTTCTTTTTCCTGGGCTTAGGCCCTCCTATTTATCAAAAAAATAGTAATATCAATTATTCACTTAGTATAATAGTAATATTTCTACTAGTATAAATACTTCCTTTGATATGTAAATGGACACACTAAATTCCCTTTGAAAGACCATTCTACTTACTTCTTCATTCTCTCTAGTTTGATATTATAAATCAATATCATCATATTAGTTTAACAAATATTAACTAAGTTAGATTTAAATATCCAAATTTTCTCAACACGTTATCAACACGATCGTTTCTATCATAAGTTTTTACTATATTAGGTATATACCCTTTACTTATCTCTTTAATCTTATTATTACTGTTATTATTATTATTATTATTAGTTCTGGTTATAGAAAACTGGTAACTTGTCAAGTGCTCTATAATAAGTGTCGTTATTCTTATTATATATTTTATGTGGAGGTTTAAAACCCCATATGCAATTACTAACATTTATATTTATGCAATTACTAACTTTTATATTTAATGATAGTCTGAGATTCCATATGCAATTACAAACATTTATATTTATGCAATTACTAACTTTTATATTTAATGGAGTCTGAGACTCCGTATGCAATTACTAACCTTTATATTTAGTGGAGGTTTAAAACCACATGTGTTGTTACAGACTTTTATATTTAGTGGAGGTTTAAAATCTCATATGTTGTTACTAACCTTTATATTTAGTGGAGGTTTAAAACCCCATATGTTGTTACTAACTTTTATATTTAGTGGAGGTCTAAAACCCCATATGCATATACTGTTTTTTTTTTATGTGTTCATTTACCTTATATGTTATATCATGATTATCTCTATCACTTATAACGACTAGATGATATTTAACACACTTAAGATTTGGCTAAATAACTTGTAACACACTTAATATTTTTCTTTTTCATTTTCTTCAACAGTAACTACAACGGTCATTTTACAAAGTTACCTCTATAAATACTTTAACTTCTTTCATAACTTTCACATCATTCTCAAGATATTTATCCATATTTTTCAAATGACTAAATTTCTTATTTTGGTCATCACTCTGCATCATTATTTTGTTTCTTATGGGTATTATCAATCGTGAAGAATTAGGTAATGATTTTGTAGTTTTAATGATAATTATAGTCTTACCATTACTAGCCATAGCTTGGTTTATTAGTAGAGGTTTTTGAATAATATGTAGTCATGGATTTTGTAATTGAATAAATTTATTTTTTTTGTTTGTTTTTGCATTAAATATTGATTATGTTCATCTAAATTATAGATATAATCATGTCAAATCTTAAGCATTAATTTAAAATTTTAAGCATAACTGGGAAAACTTCATAACCTGGAACAACAATCTAATTGAGGACCTTACATGTGATGGACTTAACAAAATACTTAAAGGAGACAATTCTAGAAAATCAACAGATGACCCAGATGAAATAGAAAAGAGAAAGTCAAAAGTGAACAAAATAATCAAACACCAGCTTGATGATGGGTTACAAACAAAATATTCAAAAGATAAAGATCCCAATATTTTGTAGGACAAAATTAAAACATGATTTGGATATCAGAAAAAAGTTTTGTTACCCTCATTAATGAATCAGTGGAACAAGTTAAGGTTCAAAGATTACAAAAGTGTCATTGTATATAACTCTGCTATGCACCAGATTATAGCACAACAGGGATTTTATGGCATAATCATAACTGAAAAAGAAAAGTTAGAAAAAACTTTTTCAACTTTTCATGCATCCCAAGTATTATTGCAACAAAAATATAGAATTAGGCAATTTACTGAATATTCTAATTTAGTTGCAACCCTTCTAGTGGTAGAACAAAATAACGAGCTTCTTATAAAAAACCACCAGTCACGACTCACACGAATAATAACATATCATGAAATTAATGCCACAACTTTTTGAGATTGAATCCATAAATGATAATACCTATTTTGATACTGCTAATTTCATTGAAGAAACAATTGATTAAGTAACTATTTGGATAATGCGTGATGTGCTTATATTAACTTTATATTTGGAATATGTATTAACTTAAGAATTTGTATATTGTTTAATGTATCTTATGTTTGCATCAAATAATAATGTTAAATATATTGTTGATTTACTCTCTATTTAATCTTATTTTTATTCTAAGAAGGTTAGACATGGAACATGTCAAAGACATTTGCATTCTGGATAGTGGGACTACCCATACAATCCTCAATACTAAGAAATATTTTACTGAAATAAATCCTACTAAAGGTGTAATAAATACAATATTAGGTCCTGCAAATTTGATTGAAGGAAAAAGTAATGCTATGTTCATATTACCAAATGGGACAAAGTTTTTCATTAATAATGCTTTATACTCTCCAAAATCAAAGTGAAATTGTTGAGTTTTAATGATATATATCATCAAGGATATGATACTGAAACTACAACTGAAGGTAACATGAAATACATTAATATCACTTTTAATTTTTTGGATAAGAAAAAAACTTTAACCAAAATTGCCTTTTGGATTATATTATACATATATACATGAAATTGAATGCAATTTAGTAGTAAAAGAAGATCCCAAAATTGTAACTTTATGGCATGACCGTTTAGGTCACCCTGGTTCAACAATGATGCACAAAATAGTTGAAAGTACACATGGTCTCCATTGAAAAGTTTAAAACTTACAAAAGAAGATAGAACATATGAAGCTTTCTCTCTTGGAAAACTAATAACAAAGCATTCACCAGGCAAGATTCAGACAAAATTACCGAAATTTCTTGAAATAATTCAAGGAGATATATATGGACCTATCCATCCATCATCAAGACCATTCAAGTGTTTTATGATATTGATTAATGTATCTAGTAGATGGTCATATGCATGCTTACTGTCATGTCGTGATATGGTATTTGCAAAATTTATTGCATAAATAATTAAACTTAGAGCTTAATTTCCTGATTATACTATAAAGAAAATTAGACTTGACAATGTTGGTGAATTTATATCTGAATCATTTAAAAAATATTGCATGTCAATTGGAATTACTGTTGAACATCATGTTCCTCGTGTACATACACAAAATAGTTTAGCAGAGTCATTAATCAAACATCTTCAATATATTACTAGACCATTAATGATGAGAACTAAACTATCAGTTACAATTTCGGTTTAACCAATTTTACATGATGCAACACTCATCCGTCTAAGGCCAAATGTTGATCACAAACTGTGACGCGGTGGGAGAAATGACTTGGTTATTTTGCATTTGATTGCAAATGTTGCGGTTAGCAAGAGTCGCCATCGACTTTTCTTTTATCCAAAAGGAAAGACTGAAAAGAACAGGAAAGACCTTTGAGATGTTTTCTTGAGTTCAGGGGGTAGATTATGAAAAGGGAAGGTATTAGCACCCTTTCCATACATGGTTTTCCATGGGCTCCTAATTACTTGCTAGATCACTTGCTTTTGTTTAAAAATATGCTTTGTGTGATTTTTGAAAGTATTTTGAAAATGCGTCATCGTTTAGGCAAACTTTGTAATGATTCTCGTTCGTAAGAATGTATACAAAGTGTTGATCTTTTGAAAATGTTTTCAAGTTTGAAAGATGTTTTTTGAAAGTGTTGGTGTTTGTTTTGAAAATAGCGAGGATGTTTTTGGTTTTGAAATTGAGCAAGCAACTGGGAACATTCTACCTACTCAAAAATCTTTCATGTTTATTTCCTCTTTCCTTTGACATTGTTATCTTACCATTGATTTGGTAAGTAACCCTATCTTTGGATGTAAAAGGGACGGGCGAGGGTCATCGTATAGCCATGATTAGCAATGTTGTAAGATATCTTAGCATTTTCTTTAGGGACTAAGATAATTTTGTAAGGCAACATGGATAGCGTCACCGAGGGACTATGATCTTGTATTTTTTTACTTGTTTTTTTGCTAAGATACCTCACATGCATAATATGACCATTTTTGTAAGGCAACAAAGTGGATTTATCCTAGGGGTGTATGTGTGTAAGTGTATTGGTTTGCATGCTTGATTTGTCTTGATTAGGGTTTGCTACTTGTTGGTTTTAATCTTTCCATACAAAACCCTAATTACTAGCATTTGTATATAAAGAATTTAAATTGCGGAAAATAAAAAAACTAAGCTATTACATCATTTAGGGGATGGGGTGTACAAATTTACAAATGGGGAATTGCAAAAAATTAAATCTAAATAATTATTACAACCATATTGAATATTATACAAAAATGATGATAAAAATGCAAGAATATAAAATGTAAAATAAAAGTGATTTTTGTTTGGTTTTCATGAAAAAGGTTTTTTTTTACCTAATTAACTAAAATAAAATAATTAACTAAAAAATAAAATTAAGGTTAAGTTAATGAAATAAATTAGTTTAAAGAAAACAAGTTTTTTTTAGGTTTTACTTGTGAATTTAATTAAACTAGTAAACAAAATAAAAGTCCTAAGTTCTAAATTTATTTTAGTTTACAAGAAAGTAATATAATAGTAATTAAGACTAATTATCTAAGTATTTAAAAAAGGAAATTAATTTATTAAAGGAAATGTTTTTTTGTTCTTTTAGTTATGAAGAAAAATAAACTAAATACATATAAATAATAAAATATAAATATTTTTTTGGATTTTTTATTAGTGAAAATAATAATAATAATAATAATAATAATAATAATAATAGTATTAATAATAATAATAAAAGATGAAATAAAACAAAAATATAAAATTAAAGTCAGGGGGTTAAAAAAAGGAAATGGGGGTTAACAAAAGTAAAAGGGGCCCAAGTCACGTTT